GAATGCTCTTCTGTGTAGTTCATGCAAATTCACAAACACGGAGAGTCCGTTAAGTGGGTTTATTTGCTATATCCTGTTTAGTTGGAGTTTGCTTGTTTCATCACTGGCTTCAACTGCCTTTCATGAGGGTGGTAGAGGATTTGATTCGATTTTATATTGTATTTAGTCGAATATATTGCAGATGAAGCGTAAGATGAAACGATTGGAAGGACGTTTTGAACCTGACTTGGTTTCATCCGCTTTCCAGAGGCGGATAGAATCTGGGAGAGGTAAAAGAATGGACGATGAAGAGCATTGAACTGCTGCTCTCGTTGGAACTCACAAGTAGTGCCCGATATTTTTGCGTTCCCAAGGGTACTCATGCATAAACCATCGAATTAGGAACGAAAACCGTTACATATTGTGCTACCTAGACGATGGTCAGCAGATACCGTAAATCAGTTATTGTTCTTGATTTCGTTTTTTTATTGGATTTCCAGACTCTAAGGTTTGAGGTTTTATGTTACAAATATATCAATGTAGTTTTGTTCAGAGCACGAAGTTTTCATCAATCATTTGCAGATGTACCTTTTCACTGCTCCGATCCATCAGATTAGTGCAAATGTCCGAAAAATTGCACCCACACAATTCTGTCCAGTATGCCTTTTATGTTCACCTCGTCCGGATCACCGCAGACGGGAAAAGTAAATACGAGTTGAAAAGCTGACGTCACCTGCTCTGCTAAGACAAAATGACGGAGCACATTTTACGGTGATCTTCCTTTCCAACCTGTATTACGGATTCATAATTGAACCGCTCGACTACTACTTTAATACTTGCGTACCCAGGTTGACTGCTGTTCATCGATTAACTGTGACCATGTCTCGATATGATAAAAGATGTCTATTATTACTGATGTTATCGGGGAATCGTGAACGACGTCAATGAATTGCCTCCACATGATAAAAAGACAGATGAACGTTCCAAAACCAGTGGTTTCTGGTGTTTCCTTTTATCTAGTGAATAAAGAAAAGTCACGTGAAGTGCAGTCCGCCAGGCGGTGGTCGAACAGTAACACGAAATGCAGTGGATGTGTACAGCAGAAATCAACTGAATAGCCTCAGTATGTAAAACTCGTGAAATGGTTATTATTCTGATACTAAACTGGTCAACGAGAGCGTCAACTTTTATAATGAATTGCACTACACGAACTATAATATTGATGGTTGGTTCTTTTGGTCATATGTATGCGAAATTGGTGGAACTATTGATTTTCTTTTGCAGGCTGACAAAGGTCAGGAAAAAACGCGAATTACAGAATGTCTGAGTTACTTGAATGTGAGAGAAAATTTTACTCTCAACGGCCTTGATGGCTTTCTCCTCAGTGAGCTAAGTTTGCACAAGATACTTAGTTTGTCTGCATTTTAGAGACATTTGGAAGGCAACCTGTCAGACAGTGCCATGTGCCGTCCAATAATGTGCATATTCGGTCAGTTTATTGTCTGGTCTTGTACAGCAGCAGGACATACTAACAATCAAACATTGGTCGGAAGCAAATATGAACTACTCACTTGATCCTAGTAAGTATGCAAAAAGTAGTAACTTACATGTGTTTACTATGAACGAATAGTATAGAGGTGATTTCACGTTGATCGTCCGCGATTTACATGCGCGCGTGCATGTGGCTAATGAATGCATCTTTCCGTCATTGGATAGAAATTAACAAGGAGTGATTGGCAAATGTGAAATGCAGGATACTGTGAATTGGTTCTAAATAGAAATCCGCCTCTCTATGTGCCAAATACTTGCAATCGAGTTTGGTAGGTGTAAAGGAAGTACATTGAGAATAGCATGTAACCAATTTAATCTTCGACCAAATAATTCCAGTTTAATGTCCAGCATACACTAAGGAAAATCATTGCCTCAGCAAACTTACATTCATTCGTGACAAGGCTATCAGAAATCCGTGATATATATTGTTTCCGAACACAAAGGGGTAGGGTATATAACAGATGAATGCTCACTGAAGCAGTTCACTAAATTCATTGCTTTGATCAAACTCACGCAGTCGTGTAGATAAATCTAGATAGTACATCTATACTGTCCCGATATTTTGTTTTATTTAGTTTCACGGAACTTACTATCTCAACGGTTCCTCAATCAAATCTACTGCTGTAGTTATTTTCCACTCAACCAGCTGAACAGTTTTACGTTTTCCTTTTG